CATCAAGTACTTCCGTAGATAAAATTTATTTCTTGAAGGATCCTTGTGGAAATATCACCAAGTATTAATTAAAGTATCCTCTTTTTAATGCAACAAGCCGTTTTGAAAAATCACTTTTAATTCTTGAGAAATAAATTTTTGAAATGAGCAACATAATCAAGTTTTATTGAAGAGTATAATTCTGTAATCTTATAATAACTTTTTTGTTTTTTCAGGCATTCTGGTCAAATACTTTATAGGATATAATTTTATTTTGTTTAAAAGATATTACAATCAACTTGAAGTAATGAAACATGAAAAAGATGAAATTAAAGAAAAAAAAAATTACTCGGTATGTATCGTTTATTTACTCACAAATTTTATATACAAAAATACATATGTTTGGGTTTCTTTCAATTGATTTGCAAACACCACAAAGTGATTTTGAAACAATTGAAATAGTTATTGGCACGTTTCGGCCTGCAAGTTATTTAAATACAACCTAATTGGTTAGCCTTACATTAAAAGTATTATTTACGTCTATCTAAAACGACTTAAAAGAAACACTCTCCGATTTTTCATACCAATAAAGGAGCAACAATTTAAATAAGAAAATAAAAGTATAGAAAATAACGTAAAAAATTACGTTTTTACGTAATCATTTTCAACTTTAGTAGTATAATTTACCAGATAGAAATAAAAATTCACAACCATCCTTGCTCACTTCCTCACAAAAAGACAAAAAGAATACAAGCAATATAGTGATTTAAGAAGGATTAGTGTCCAAGAGGTGGCCTAATTAACCTCCTCCTTCCCGCAATTAGCTTATTTAACCCTTTAGGTTCCTCCGTGGTTGAACTCGGCGCTGGTGCTTCAGTTTCTTCGTTATTTTCTGAAGCAACATCAGTCGCGGGGGCTTCTTCCGGTGCTTCGGTGGAGGGTTCAGGAGCTGCAGTTGTTTTCCTTCTGGCCAATAAAGGATTTACCCTCTTTACTTGAACCGGTGATGTCCCAGCGGCTTTCGGCTTAGCAGATATGTTAATTCTTTGTCTATTTTTGAGTCTATTTAGAGGGTTATTGTCTTGTGGGGGTTGTTCTGGTTGTTCCTTTGGTTGTTCTTCTTCTTGTTTCGGTGCTTCTTCGTTTACTTCTTGTTCAGCTGGGGCTGATTCGGTTGTTGTTGTTGTTGTGGTAACCCCTCCAAGTCGCCCTCTAGCCAAATTAATTCTAGGCCCCGGGCGTAAAGGACGAACAGCTCCACCTACTTTAGGTCTACTTCTGATGGTTGTTGATGTTTGGGATTCTTCTTGGTTTGATTCTTCCGGCGCGGCTGTTGATGCGGGAGTTCGAGATCTCGTTCTTAATTTGTTTAATGAATTCGATGGGCGAGGTCTTAAAGATGCTCTGGTGGTTGTTGCGGAATTATCGGATTCTTCACCGCCGGAGGGAGCCGGAGTTGTGCGAGTTCGAGATCGCGAAGCTCCGAATCTTCCACGAGTTGCTGGTTTGCTTTGGGTTGATTTTGTTTCTTCTTTAGCGGGTTCTTCAGCTGGTTGGGCGGTGCTTCTGGTACTAGAGGGGCGTCTTCCAAAACTCGGTCTTCCACCGAATTTCTTTGGTTTATCTTGGTCTGAGTTTGGGGATGAGGTGGATGTTGCGACGGATTTTCCACCTCCGATTTTAGCGCGGTTTTTAAAACGACCTCTTCCAAAAGCTGGTTCTGGGGGTGGTGTTGTCGTTGTTGTTGTTGTTGTCGTGGTTGGTGCTGGGGTTGTCGTGGTTGTTGTGGTCGTTGTAGTCGTGGTGGTTGTTGTTGTGGTTGTCGAAGGAGTTGTTTCTTCTTCGGTTGTTAATTCTAAAGTGGTTGGTTCTTCTTTTTCTTCTTGTTGTGTTGTTAAATCTTCTTCGTACGCCTATCAAAAACAATTTCATAAGAATTTAAACACTTCAAAATCAAATTTTTTACCCCTTCTTCTCCCAACATCTTCTGGGTGCCTTGACTTATTGCGTATAAATCTAAAACAGCCTTTTTCATCCCCGACATAGGAGTAGTTGCTTCTTCATCTTCGGTGGATGAAAATGATTCTTCTTTAGCTTCTTCTTTTTTGACGTCTTTTGGTTCATTATCTTCCTATTAAGAATAAGAAATAATTAGTAAAAAATCCTAATTATGAAATAAATTGTGTTATTTGTTTGTTGTTTTTTTAAATAAATTTCCATCAGAATAAAGAAAATCGAAAGTTATTATTACGATTAGTAGAAGTAAATGGAGAGTAAAAAAACGAAACAGACAAAGAAGTGGGAAGAAAAAAAAACCTTTAAAAGAAGAGGGGAACTTACAAGAGAAGGTTCTCTTTCATTGGGCGTAGCCCCTAAGAATCTTACTGGACCAGCGGGTAGGTCCGAGGGGAAAGAAGGTCCACCAGCAGGTGGTTCCCCGGTATTTGGGTGTGTGTTAAAGGTGGCGCTATCAATTATGTCTAAACTTGGTCGTCTGATGCTTGACCTTGTTCTTCCGCGCGATTCCTAACAAATCAATTTCCTATTAATAATCATTGGAGAACCTTCTATGGTTTTAAGGTGTAACTTATTTGTGTAACCATGAAGTCGAAAAGCCTTCAAACTTACCTGCGATTCTTCAGAACTATTATCAACTTCAACTCTTCCTCGAGTACGTCCTCTCGAAGCGGGTGTTTTAACTTCTTCATCTTCCTCCCCACTTGGAGTTGTGTTTAAATTCCTTCCTCTCGGCGGAAATCTTGTATTAACCGGCAACCTTTCTTCATCAACAATGTCTTCAGTATCCAATTGCTTCGTTCTTCCTCTAGATGGGACGATTTCGTTGACATCGGCCGATTTCGTTTTATCTTTACCCCTTGATATTTCATTTCTCGCCGGACCATCGTGTCCGTTGCTTACTTTCGGGTCTTTCTCGTTGCTATCATCGTCGTAGTAATAATAAACGTACTCGTATTCGTATTCTTGGCCATTGGGGCCTTGTTTGATTTTAATTCTGCTTTGTTTCTTATCACTTCCGCTTCCTAAGAAGATAGTATCCTCATCTACTTTAACTGGGGCAAAACCCGTCGTTAAAATGGGATGTGATGTGGTTGGATTCGCTTCTGGGATAGCTTCTTTTTTGGTTCTTTTTCGATTTGGGGGTGATTTTGGTGTAGTTTTTGTTTTTGTTGTGGTCGTTTCGGTTTTTAATTGGCTTTTGTATTTTTCTAAAAGTTTGCTGACGTCTAATTTGATAGCTCCGGCTGGGGCTGGAGCTGCTGCGTCTGCTGGGTTTGCTTCTCTTTTGCTGATAATCTTTTTGATTTCGGCTTCGTCTTCATCGGGGAGTACTTTAAGACCGCTTGGTCGTTTGTGGGATGTTTCAAAGTGTTGGTACTTTTTGGGTTCTTTGCTTTTGGTTTCTGAATGCGATCGTCTTAATAAAACGTATTCTTGACCCGGTTTTGGTTTGGTTAGAACTTCTACTTCCGCTGTGGTTATTGATATTAAAATTGATACGAGGAATAGGGTTCTGAAAAAAATGAGGAATTTAAAAAAAATTCTTTTACATAAAACTTGAAAAACCCGTTTCAGATGATTACATAATAGTTCTTTACGATTTATTAGAAAGTCGCTTACGGTATTTATTACCTCCTACAATTACGCAAGGTGATAACAGTTAAAATAATAAATTTTTATGATTTATTTAATAATTTAAAAAATTTTGATTGTCCCTGTAAGTCGAGTTATTGCGTACGAGGTCGATCAAAAGTTACAATTTCCTCGACCTTTAGTTGTCAATGTTAAACCGCGCGTTTTCCGCGATGAAAGTGAATATTTTAAAGACTTTAAAGGTCAGAGGGGAATGCGAAATGTCAATCGAATCTCCGTAAGGGTTACGAAACGATGAAGACGACGGGATCGTCTTCACATTTCCAAACATCCTAGTCTATAAAAGAATTGCATACATAACAGACTAACATTGTTTTTTTTTTGTAGTCATCAAGAAATTCTTTTGGAATTTAATGAGGCGCTCCTTTTTAAAAGTTGTAAAAGCTTCGTGATCTTTCGCGAATTTGGTTGCACAACAAACGACCCGATGATCTTTCGGGATCTCCCCGATTTTCGCTCATCGCTTTTTTAAATTTCAATTCTAGAACGTCTTTTGGCCTCGCAATATGTAAATTGATACTATCGCTTTCACTGGACGAAATTCTCAACGCCATCTAGCCATAAGACGTTGGGCGTGAACGTTCTTCTTGGGTTAAACCAGGTTTGAACGAACGCAGTGAAAGAGAAATTCGTTTCCTCAAGGTCACTATGTGACCTTCCTCTTCGCGACCGGGAGAGAAAGTTTTTTTTTAAAACGAAAAATTTTTCGGAGGCTTGGCCATCAAAATTTCAATACTCCATTTGAATTACGTCACGGTTTTCAATTAATACAACAATTCACTTTATGACCTTGCTCTACCTAGAAATATCTTTAATCTAAATTCTATAAGGTGTTAAATATAAATTAAAAAATATCTAAGTGGTAAATTGGTGTCAACGTTCTTAACAGATTTAAATTTAAATAAATTCACCTCGTTATGTAAAAGGTAAATAACTTTCCCGTTTATTATGTGTTGCGCGTAGATCTTGTGTGAATCCCAAGAAGATAATAAATGCATTGTTTATTGTCGTTGGTAAAGGTGGCTTCCTGCGAAAGAGGAACTTTGCAATTGTTAAGCTTTGTTTATCGCTTATGTTATATTATTAAAAAATTCTTTATTGTTACTTAAATTTTTTAAGACTTTCACTTCATCATAAAATTATTAAAACATCAAAATTACGAATTAAAATTTAACCGGAAATTTGATTCGCAAAGCGGTTATTTTGATTTCCTTTAAACTTTCATTTTAAATAATTTCGTGGTCGTTGTGTCAACGAAAATCGATTATATTGTTGTCATTTCGCAATTTAGTCGATTTCGAATCACAAGAAAATCGACCGTCAAAGAACTTTCCTTTTTAGGCATACGCGAGCAAAATGACGCTCCGGGCGTTAGTAAAAGTAAAAACCTTGACTGCGTAAAGTTCAAAACGTCAATCGGGATGACTTGAACCAATTAGCATCCAAAATTCTTTTAATGACGAATTTTTTTATGTTAAAAATGCAATTAAATTTTATTATTTTAGCTTTTAGTAAACAACCGAAAGAGAAAGTTGCTAATTAAATTTTTTAACTCTTAAATAAAAAGAATACATCTCATTTTCTCATTATATTTTACTAGATACATTAATAATTTATGTAGCTTTTTCTCTTTATAAAGAATGTTGAGTCTACATCTCAAGTGGACGAGTTATTACAAAACATCTAATCGCCGAGAAAAAGTTCTCCATATGTTTCAACTTTATTATTTCCTTCTTCTTGTTTATTTCATTAATTGCAAATAACTTACATGGTTTTGCTTGTTTTAGCCATATTGTCTTGGTTTTGTCTTTGTCTATTCGTTGGAGCGGTTCCGCTCTTTTTGGGCGGTCTTCGTTTCGCACTTCACCAGGGACACAACTAACTAAGAAGTCACAGAGTCAAAGAGGAGAGACACCGCAACCGAGTCCGAGGTTTTAGTTGAAACGACTTTCGCCAGTCGGTTCGGCCGATACTAGCGGCTGGTGCGCGAATCCGATCATATATAAACTGACCGAGCGTTCTCTTCCACCCTGCCCTCAACGATGGTATTAGTGACCCATTTCGTTACACTTAGATTTTTTTTTATGGTTTACGTCACCGATGTCCAAAATTCTTTTCAAAACCAAGTACAACCTCGTTTGATGGATTCCAAGAAATATATTTTAATCACCAATTAGTTGTATTACAATTTACATGTTGATCTAAAAATTTGTTTTAATATTTATTTATGTATCAAGCTGTTTATGTACCTTAACAATATTATCATTGTTTTCTGACAACTCACGCAATATTTACAACATCTTATTAATTAGCTATTACTCCCATACATAATACTGGTCTATCTTCTTGGCTATACCTTTCGCTTTTCTTTAATGTTTCCTCCAAATATAAGCTTGAAAAAGATGTTGATGATTAACCCTTTCGAAACGGCACTTTTTTCAAAATGAATGACCCACAGACGGGCGTCTTAATATTGGTAGCGTGACTGACGTCGGATATTTCCGACAGAACATTTCTGGATTCTGGACAGAACAAAAAACAAATAAATAGATGAAAAGTAAAAAAATAATCATTATTATTACTGTATTTCTGAACAACTAAACATTTATTATTGTATTATTATTGAAATAAAAATGGATACAAAAAACTGGATTGACTGCACTTCACAAGAACTCTCAAAATTTGGTGGTTGTATGATATCTCTCGAAACAAGGTACGATACATAAACCTACATTACACTCTTTGCACATGTATCGAGATTCCTTTCTTTTTTTGACTCCTGTGGTAGTGTTGGCACAGACCATACAGCGCCGTAAAGCTCGCTTTGATTTTTGGGTGTCCGGTACCAATGAAGGAAAATGACGTTCTGTAATCCTTTTCAAATAATGGCAAACACGAGGTGGCACTTTACGCTGAAGGCTATCTCTGATAAGAATAAGAATATTGGTTATTATAATGATAAAAATGATACAAGAAATCTTTGTTGTTACCTTTCTAATAACTGACGAATAACATTCTTATGAAATACAGCTAGCGGAACCTTTTTCTCATTTTGTGTCAAAAATAATGCATAACTATTTAGTAAACAAATGTCCAAGACATGAAAAAACAATTTCTTGTACCATTTGACGTTTTTTCTCATAGAATCTATACTGCTTATTAGCATATCCGATCGATCAACAGCTCCCATTTGTACATTATAGTCTAACACGCACAAGGGCTTCTTTATATTATCTCCAGATTTACGGTCCAGTTTAGGAANTGGGTTTACGTCACCGATGTCCAAAATTCTTTTCAAAACCAAGTACAACCTCGTTTGATGTATTCCAAGAAATATATTTTAATCACCAATTAGTTTTACTACAATATACATGATGAATTGAAAACTTGTTTTAATAGTTATTTATGTATCATGTTCTTAAAAAGTTCATTGTCAGTTACATTACCAACAAATGATGTTTGTGTATTAAGTAGAAGACAAAAATCTTTCAATCCAAAATTAAGCTTGTTTTCTGGCAACTCGCGCAACATTTACAGCATCTTATTAAATATCTATTACTCCCATACACAACACCGGTGCTTTTTCGCTTTTAAATCTCTAAGTATATCTCAATGTTTGCTCCAAATATAGTCGGCTTGAAAAAGATGTTGATGCTTGGATTAGTTCCCATTTTACTTGGAATTATCCTCAATTACATCCAATATCTTCCATTCCGGCCTCTAACTGATTACGAATATCTCTTAATATTTAGAATAGCTCCCAATTATTTTTGATATTTTCCTTATTTCTTAATTAAAACTCTACTTTAAGCTTTTAAAGCTCCTCAGTGACTCTCTTTGCGTCCCAATGTCTCTTATTGATTATTAACACTTCCCAATTGCTTTAAATAATATCCCTCTGTCCCAAATTATGGAAAGGATTAAGGAAAGTTTCGAGAATTAACGAGTTTCTATCTATTTAATATAATATAATGTAATCTTAATTTAATTAATGAAAGAAACTAGAGTTCTGTTTGTTGAAGGTTAAATCAAATCGATGTTTTGAGGATATGTACGACTCAACGCAAGTTAAAAGGTCATGCTACATAACGCTGGACAAAGCAGAGCCAAAAAGGGGCTGTAAAAGCAAACGGTTCATAACTAAAGTTGTGTTTATGGCTGCAGTGGTCAGACCACGCTGTGACAGTGCTAAAAACAGTATTTCAACGGCAGAATAGGACTCTAACCTTTTGTTTATAAAGATCCTCCAAAAGAAACAGCAGGAACCGAGTAGGAGGAACAATGGTGACCAAAAACATTGAGTCTATTAACGCAGTAGAATGCAAAAAGATGATTATCGATAACGTTGTACCAGCCATTAAATCCAAATTGATTGGTTCCAAATTGATGATTATGGATCAAGATAACATAATTCATAAGCAATACCACCATAGTTATCTCAATTTGATGATAATGAATTAAGATAACATAATCCATAGTCAATGCCACCATAGTTCTCACCATTTCTTAGGTTCAAGCCAAGAATTCTCAAAATATCAAAATTGACAATCATCTGCGTTAAATTCTGTTATAAGTAGAAAACTAAATGTGATGGAGAAAAACGTTTCCCATAAAAATTAATGATAATGAATCAAGATAACATAATCCATTGTCAATGCCACCATAGATATCACCATTTCTTAGGTTCAAGCCAGGAATTCTCAAAATATCAAAATTGACAATCATCTGCGTTAAATTCTGTTATAAGTAGAAAATTAAAGGTGATAGACAAAAACGTTTCCCATAAAAATTAATGATAATGAATCAAGATAACATAATCCATCGTCAATGCCACCATAGATATCATCATTTCTTAGGTTCAAGCCAGGAATTCTCCAAATATGAAATTTGACAATCATCTGCATTAAATTCTGTTATAAGTAGAAAATTAAAGGTGATACAGAAAAACGTTTCCCATAAAAATTGATGATAATGAATCAAGATAACATAATTCACAACCAATGCTATCATAGATATCACCCTTTCTTAGGTTCAAGCCAGANGGCATTAGTAAATTTAGTGCTAAAAAAACATAAAACTCTGACTTATGAAGATCTTTCCAGTCATTTGTATTTTCTGCACCATAGCGATTTGTTTCATGTACGATTATGTCAACAATGTCTTCTGTGAAAATGCTCGAGAAGTAGTGTAATTCAGTTGAATTTGAACTGAGATTGAAATCTGGATTTACACCACATTGATCACTTATAAACGCATGTTTCTTAGGCTTAAATTCGTTATCTGTCCACTGTATATTGATCTCATGAAGCGGCTGTGCCTCTTCTTCGTTCTCGTTATTATTTTCAGTGGTGTCGTTCGCATTTTCTAAGTAATCGTCACCACTATCAGCACTCTCAAAAGACTCACTTTCGCTCGATGATTCGGGAATATATTCACTTCCGCTATCAACAAATGGTTCGTCTTCGCTTAGATAACAGTCGTCGAGGTTATCCACAACTTTTAGAATATCTCTAACTTCTTTGTCACCTAAACCACACCAGTTGTTGGATTGGGTATCAATTTTGTTGGCTCTTTTAGGACGTGAGGGACCTGCATCGTCTTCCGATGACATTTTGTACATTACTGAAGAAATTGAAACAAACATGTGCAACGCATATTCATCGCACCTGCACTCTCGGTTACTGTCGAATATCTCCGTTAGATCGGATTATACCGACATTAGTTTCTGTGTCATGTAAATTGTGACGGCATAAACCGACAGCGGTTTTATGGTCACAGTAAGTTTTGACGCAGTCGGATATTATAGATAACAGTTTCACAAGCAGTATAGAAGCAAGTCGGATATATCCGACACCAGTCTGAGAGTCAAATTATGGAAAAACTGATATATCCGACATCCGTCTCGATAGGGTTAAATTAGTTTCCATTTTACTCAATTATATCCAATATCTTCCGTTTTGGTCTCTAACTGATTACGAATATCTCTTAATATTTAGAATAGCTCATCCCTTGTTTGAACAGGTGTCTCATACAATTTTCCTTTCAAATATCTCCATACAAAAAAGTCTAAAGCATTAAGATCTGCAGATCGTGGGGCCATGCGACTGGTCCACCACGACCAATCCATCTTGCAGGGAAATGGTTGTCTCGCCATATTCAAGTTGAAACCAGGAATTTCTTCTTAAAGCTAAATCAATGTCATCCCACATATTGGCATGTTCAGCTACTAAAAATTACAAGAACGCCGAAAGTTACTTGTGGTGGCAAAAAGTATGGTCCGAAAAGATGATTATTATAAACACCCTGACGTTGACACTAAATTCATGTTGGAAGTTTCGTGGCCGAATTGCATAGGGATGCCAAAACATCAATCCACATTACATTATTTAAAAAATCTCAATTATTGGCTGATGTTTTAGCAATTCACCGACAAAATGTTACACGCCGTTCTTCATCGCCTAGTTACAATCCTTGCAAGGATTGAAAATGATAAGCATGTCTATGATTATATTTCAAAAGACGATACACACGCGCCCTAAAAATTCGTAGGGCATTCGAAACTCTTCTAACACTCGTAGTGGGGTCTCTTCTAAAGTTTCTTTGCAGTCTAACATTGTCATTATTACGATCTACACATCATTATTTAGCCCTTATTCATGCACTTTGTCTATGCACTTTGACAAACACAGAAGGATGCGGTTGTCTTCTATTTGGATATCTTCTCCTATACTCTTGGGCTACTTCTGCTGAATTTCCCTTCCTGAAGTTTGGAAACACGTAAACAAAATGAATAACAGCTAACTCTTGGTTAGGAAAAATAAACTGCATTTTATGAAGTTTTTATGCAACAAACAAAAAATTAAAAAATGAAAAAAAAAACAATTTAACACGATTAGGAAAAAGAGAAGATGAATTTAGCACGTTAATAAACAAGAAAATTGAATTTAACACGTTAACGAATAAGAAAAATTAATTTAACAGTGATCAACAAGTACTGGTGATTTGACACTTGATACAATAAACTAAAACATTAGTGAACTTAACTACTTT